AAATCAGCTGGTGGTTTAGAACCCCAGGCCTTGTGGTTAGCAGCCCCGTGCATAACCCACTCTGCCATCAGGCCTCCTTTCGGCTCACTATGAGTTGGAATTGCCTTGAAGGCCCTGGGGTGGTGGGGGGCATAAACATTTTTTTTTTGCCAATATGGATGTCACTAGCCATATGTGACTATTTAAATTACAATGAAATCGAATTCACCTCTCAGTTCTTCAGCCATACTCGCCAGCCACATCAATATATCAGATAGAGCAGATGGAGAGCATTTCCATGTTTGCAGGAAGTCCTACAAGCGTGGCAAAGCCGCTTGACGATGGGAGGAAGTTCCATTCTTACTGGCATGTCATCTGCAAGCAAGAATTAAGAGAGTGCAGGGGCTGGGATGGTTAATGAGTCCCCGCAGCCTCGTTTTGGCTGGCTGACTAACTGGCTTTTAACACAGGCAGATTAAAAGGATGAGCTGAGAGGGTGCAATGAAATGAAATGTCCTGGGCGGTGCTTCTCTGCCTGGTTGCAAGGCAGAACCACTGAGGGATCGCTTAAGAAATGCCCCTGCCTGGCTGGCTCTCGGTCCCAGGCCAACTGAATCGCAGTCTCTAGGGGTGGGACCTGGGAATCATGAGGGTTTTGTAAAGCTCCCTATGGAATGTGCAGTCAGAGTGGAGGACAGGTGCCTTCACGGCAGTGAAGCTGGAAAAAAAAAAACTTCTAGAAGACCGTTTCTAGTTAGCATTTGGTGAGTAGCAAAAAAGCTTTTTCATTGACTCACTGTGTTGCTAAGTAAACGGTTGGAGTTAGGTAAGCTTGCTTCCTCTAGAAAGAGTTCTCAAATTGGGGCAAGAACAACATTGTCGTGTACCCCACCCCCACCCCACACCAAAGGCTAGAGACATTTTGGTTTCTGCAACTTGCTAGGGTTGGGGTGGCCATGGGGTTAGCTGCTAGCATCTAGAGGATAGAGGCAAGGGGTGTCCCTAAATGTCCTAGAGAGTCCAGGACAGGCCCCCCACGGTAGGGGTCAAGTCTCAAAATCAATAGTGCCATGATTAAGAACCATCATCAGAACATCCTATTTGCAACACTCATGTCCCCTCAAAGAGCCCTAGTGGCACAGTGGCTAAGCACTCTGTTGCTCACCTGAAGGTTGGTGGTTTGAGCCCACCCAGCGGCTCCATGGGCAGAGCCCTAGTGGGTTGCACCGTAAAGATGACAGCCAAGAAGACCTATGGAGCTATGCTGTTATCGTCCACAGTGTCGCATGAGTTGGAATTGTCTTGACGTGCCCAGCCACGGTATTTTCCTAAGCAAATGCTCGTGGAATCCGGACCTTACGCCAAAAAATGTCCCCTGAAGTCTTCTTTAAACCAAATGTTAAGTTAGCTTAATTAGTGGCTTCTCTGTGACACAACTTTCAGCCAAACAGTAGGCTTCTAGGTGATTGGCAACAATGGACAGCACAAGGCCTCAGACAGGTAGTTCCAAAGGGCAGCATTTGCTCAGAAACAAAGCTCCTGAGGCAGGAAGGGGCCGGGGAGATGGAGGAGTGGAAACGGGGAACACAGGAAGGAAGTGGGAGGAAGGCTAGTACGTTGCAGGGACTGCAATCAATGCGGTGAACTAAAATACAGATGAATTAGTAAGTAGATTCCTACTCTGAACCCTGTGCTCAATCACAATAAAAGTTTGCTTGCGTCTGCCTTGAGCATGGTGCTCTTCTTTATACCTACTTCTCACTCATTATATATTTTGCATCTAAAGCAGTAGTAAGAAATTGATCTGTTTTGCATATGAATGACATACATCTAGCAGTAACAAACTAGGGGCACAAGGCGAGAGAGAGAGAGAGGCTAGCTATGATGGTTAAAGTCATGTATCAACTTGCCTGTGATTCTCAGTGGTTTGGCTATTTGTTACGTAATGATGTCATTTGGCTTGTAATGATGTATTCATCTTCCATTTTGTGATCTGATACGGTCATTCTCTATTTTCACATCAGGCTCACTTTTACCTAAAGACCCAGTCTTTTGGAACCTCACTGTCCAGCAAGTGTGACGAGTGTGGG